CAGTGCAGTCTGAGAGGTGGACGAGACATGTCATCCCAACAAAATTTAAAATGTGTTTCGAGGCCCCCTAGCTGAGTGGCTGCCACTCTTTCTCATCGGCAGGCAGATTTAATGCCCAACACTGCTCCCGAGAGCAATTGGCCCACCCCGGCACATCGAGGGGTGTATTTCTCTCTCTCTTATTTTCCATCTCGATCTCTCTCCCTCTCTGTTTGTTTGAATAGTTGAAGGTGGGGGTATTGTGGAGCTGAACCTTGAGATCTCTGGAGAGTTATTCTATAGGTCAGTGGATTGACCTTTCTGAATCCCCTTGAAGGGATGTGAATAGGAATTATGTGTCCAGGATTCATTTGCTACTGCTGTACCACTATCTAAATGGATAACTATGATCTGAAAAGGAGGAAAAAAACTGTTTAAAACTGTTTTTTTTTTTAAATTACAAAACATGTGCTTTTTACATCTTTATCTGCAGAGGCTGCCATTGTGTATTGCCATGTTTGTATTGTAGCACAAAACAGACAAACTGCTAACATTAGTGTTTGTTTTTAGTTAGTTTTTAGAAATAAAAAGTTTGGCACATGGATGATTAGACTTATCTAGCCTCACAGGAGCTCAAATTGAGTGTCATACATAAAGTTTTACTGTTATTGCGAAGCTGTTAAACCTTTTTTTTCTACCATAAAAATACGTAGATTCCTGTTTTCCTCAATTTGTATCAGTATAAAGTGAAAATATTTGTTTTTTTTGACCAAGAAAGTAAAAGACATACCTCCCAGGTACTAGAAAACTTATAATAGTCCTTTTCACAATTTCCTGACATTTTATAGATCCAGAAATCAATTGAGGAATTGATTGATCAATGATCTTTTGTTGCCCTTCCCTGTATTGTGCACCTCATTACTGACTGCACGGCTGAAATCCTTATTTTGGTGTCAATAGTCATCCCCTCCAGTAATATGAGATTCCTTGAAAGGCTGTGAAGGGGCAAAAAGACTGTTTTTTATTTAAACAAAAGTGTGTTTTAACAGTAGATGTAGATGCATATGAGTACATCAGGCAGCTGTGGCTCCAAGGTTGTGATAGTTTTGAAATTTTCAGTGTTTTTTTTTTTGAGTTTTTTTTTCCAGTATAAGTTTGATTTTTAAGAGATTTAATGCATTTTTTTCTTAGTTGAGGTTAGTTTTCATTTTCAATGGTTTAGTTTTAGTTTTGCTAAAACTAGGAGATTAAAGATCACAACCATTCATCCACAAAAGACAAGCCACAGGGTTAGGGATGTCAGATGTCAGAGCTTAAATCCTATAATAATAACTGGTATTTAATAGAGTGGGCGATTATATGATCGGGATTAATGATCGCGATAAATTTCAGTCCGATCACGGTGATCAGCTGTGAGCTTATGTGCTCGATCAAACTTGGCGAAAATGTGCATCACAACAGCCAATCAGAGTCGAGCTTTTCCTGCAAAGATGTTATTGTTGAGAAGAAAAGATAATTAATATCTTATTTAGTATTTATCTATTTATTTTTAAATTTTAAGCACAGATGCTTTAAAAATGGCAGATTAAATAAAAAAAACGTGATAATAATCGAGATCGGACGATATGACAAAGTATATCGTGATCATCTTTTTGGCCAAATCGCCCGGTCCTAGTTAGGGTTAGGGTGTGGTCCGGTTTGGCCACCCTGCTCTGAAAGTTTGCACACTCCCCTGCTTGTTTGTACCTCTCTTAATGAATGAATGTGTGAGAGATTGGCTGATGAATGACCTTGAGTGTCTTCCTATGAGTGTATTTGTGTGTAAATGAACAAAATTGATATATAGTGTAAAAGCACCTTGGACAGTCAAACTATAGAGGATATATAGGCTGCGGTTCATTTACTATTTAATAAGTGCCTGATTTGAAAATGCAGTTTGCCAGCCTTGTGTATTGGCAGTTGGCAGTATGTCAGTCTGGACTGGAGCTGATGACAGCCAATCAAAACTTTTCTACTGCAAAATATTGATGTACAACAGCAAGCTACTGGTGCTTATCAGTCAAATTTTGAAATACTCTCTCCCACCAATGCATTAAAAGCAGACACATTTTCAATATGCCCCCCTGTATGTGTGAATAAGTGGAGGGTAGAAGACCAAATTTTGCTCCTCGGTATGGAAAGTGATCCTATTTTCTGGAAGAGAGCAAAAAGGTGCAGGAGGGAAAAGAATATCATAATGGGGAGCCCTGACTTCACTGTGAGTGCATTTCCCTCCTGCTGTTATTTCTGCACACTCATATTCTGAACTGAATCTGAGAGGATAGATTTCATATTGACTGCCTTATTATTCTCATTCAATTTGCAGTGATCAAAAGTGTTACTGAAATGGAAGGATGAGCTGTAGGCTTGGCTGACTGTATGGATGCCAGGCTGGCAGCTCCAATAAAGCCTGAGGGGGCTCAAGTCTACCTGGAAGTGTCTGCGAGATGATGTGATTGTTGCTGATGATACGGGGTAATGGATGTGTATAGCTTTCAAACTGCTGGCAGTCTCTCCTACTTCTCTGCCAACAGCATGGGATCTCATTTTGTAAACACCTCCAGAAAGTTAGTCGGAGAATCTCTCTGTCTCTCCTCATCTATCTGACCATGCCTTATGTGTGTTTTTATAATGAGAGCTTCTTTGGCTGAACCCTGACCACCCTTTGGCATTTCTGCAGTAGATATTTTGTGTTTGATAATGAATAACCACAGCGAAGTTACTTTATATTCTTACCCCAAACAAGCCTCTGGACTGTATACAGCTGATGATCGATCGGCCAACAGTCTAGCAGTTTGCAAATATACAGTATTCAAATGAATGAGACTGTGCAACAGCCCGCAGCTAAACTGAGGTAATGATTTATGTCTAGTGGCAAATCGACTTCAGATAAGTACAGCCCATTTCTCACCTTTCCACAACGTTGCCTATTTCGGCTCTTTTCTACTTGATGCACCAGTTGATGATATGTTGAGGGGATGGATGTACTGTATTGTGTGCCTGTATCTCATGATAGACCTCAGAACAACATGGCATCTTTTGATCTGGAGGTAAAGGTGATTATCATGGAGGGCTTTAACCAGTTATTGACGTTTTACTAATTGTTCATTATGTTCAAGTAACAGTATTGATCTGACTCCGTGGCTTGCTATTTTTGAGCTATGCGGTGTAAAGAAAATGAGGCTGAATGAAAAGTCATACGTGGTTTATTCAAACTAAATGACACCCTGAAGAGACGGTTCAACATGATGCTTTTAGATATATTTCTGAGATAAAAGCTAGAAGCCATCAGTTCAGATTACACTTGCTCTTCTGTTTCACCTTCTCTTAACTTTTTTCTTCATTTTTTTTAGCAGAGCAGGTCATATTTGGCAGTTAAACTACAAAATCCTGCTGTCAAAGTGAACAGATTCAGTAAAATGTCTGTATAAACTGCTTTTTATATTCCAAGTGGGAAGGTATAATTCAAAACTTCAAGATGATTTTACTAATTGTTGTTTTTTTTAGTCATTCGGGGTTAATTTGTATTCTGTTGTCTCAAAAATTGCTTTTATTGCAGTACTCGTTGTACATGAAGGGGTTAATGGATATCAACAACAGGTTAGCAGATGTATAATGTGGAAAAGTCTGTGTATTATTTACCGGCACCTATCAGAACAGACTTGGTATAATTTATTTAAAACAATGTACAATCATCTGAACAGAAATCATTTTGTTTTTCTAAAATAGGATTTAACCTTTTGTATCTACATTAGCATTGACAGGTCCATCTTGGAGTAGCCCGCCATCTTGCATGGTCTTGTTTCTACTGTAGCAACACAATGACAAGAAGAAGCAAGTTGATGTTGTGAGCAAAATAATTTTTTATTGAAGTTTTTTTTTTTTATGCCAAAAACTTGACAAATGGAACATCATACCTGACATGCATCACAGGAGCCTTTTGCCCACCAAGGCCACTATAGCTTCACTAACAGTTTTAACAAATCTTAATACATGGGTCTTTCCTTAGCCTGTAATTTCCCTGGCTAATTACAACCTTTTTTTTAAGAATTTAGGAATGATAAGACTTGCTGTGGTCATTTGATGATAACTGAAAATAAAAGAATAAAATCCAATGTGTAGACGCTGTTAAAGATACTTTGCTAGACTAACACCAATGTTTTAAATCTGTCAAAATCTTAACATGATCCAACTTTGTAATGAGTGTCCATCCAATATAGATGTTAAATCCATGTTTTATGTCACATTTTGCCCATAACTCTCGGGTGTGATCCCATTAATAAGGTTTTACAGTTGCCTGTTGGCTGTTGGGAGGCAGATCGTTGTCTGGTGTGAAGGGGAGCAGTAACAGTTTGGGTGGGTCTGTGAGATGAAGGAAAGCCTCGGGCCGGATCCACGCTGCCACCAGAATACCATATAAGCGTCGCACTGTTGCTTTTTTTAGCGCCTGCTTTCCAGTTTGCAATGCTCTATTAGACAAAATGTCCATCTGCCAATATATTCAGAATGCTCGATGGAGGTTATTAACATGCCCTTGGCAAAAAGGGTTTAGCTCCGTGGGGCAAGCATCTCCATAAATCGCAGCGGAGGCAGTTTTATTACAGGTTGTAAATAGAAGCCCCTGCCATATTTTATGACAGCCATCACTAACTCATTCTGACTCTTATTACCTCTCTGTTCTTTGACTTGCGGGACCATTCCCAGACGCATTCTGTGCACAAGTTTATGCAGTATAAAGGATTGATTGTAAAGGAATTTATTCCTGATGTAATTGCACCCTCAGCTAGCACCCTGCTTTTGACTTCAATTGCTGTTGTCTGGTACATTATAACAAGCCCAGCCTGTTTCTGAATGGTTGTATATAAAATTTACATATGGATACCAGTACATGCAGTTTGATTGAAGAGCTGTTTTGTACAGCGTGTTATGAAGGCGCAGAACATAATACATTTTTGATTACTTTTCTGAATTAGATCATCCAGACCGAGTTTGAGGAGAGTACATACATTTGCTTTCTACAAACGCAGTAATTATTGAGCGACTTCTCATTTAGTCCGAAATTATACACACAATTATTAAATGGAGATGTTTTTTTGTGTGTATTTTTGTAAAGGAGAACCAAGTTCAAATTGAAACCACCGCGCGCGTGTTTGTTGTGTTTTAATGGATGTTGCCTTGCAGGCTGTCATGACCACCAATTTTCCCACCGACAATTCAACAAGGCAAACATTGCAATCATATTCTGCATGCAACTCTCTGCACGCACTGCTTTTTTCTGTTCACTTACTTGAATTGGCTGACAAATCCATAATCTGCTTATGATCTTGAACAGTTGGCTGCCAGAAGCCATATTGAGAGAAATGCTCCACATAAATATGTTGCCTTGTTGACCTCAATCTATTAACATCTAGCGAAAAAAAAAAACAGGATAGGTTTGCTTTCAGGTATATATTTTCCGAGCATAAATGGCGACTTTCAGTTTCAGGGAAAAGACAGTCACCTTGTAATGTGAGAAAGGTTTCATCAGTGATATTCAGGTTGAAAGTCACTGGGCTCTGCGTTTCCTAAATCATAATTAGAGTGTTAATCACTACCCAGAGAGAAGCATTGCAGGAGAAATAATCATTTCACTGCTGCACAACAGTCATTTAGAGAGAGACAAACAACCAAATCTATTCCATTACAGACTTCCAAACTACACCCCTGTCCTGTGCTGGGACACACATGGGCGGAGTGAATGGGGATGGATGGTTGGATTAGGAATGCCGCGAGCGAGTAGATTATCCAGTATCTGGGCAGGCAGATGCGCAGAGGAGAAAACGACTACACAAAGAGCCAGATCTCCATCAGGGGATCAATTCATGGTGCTCGCTCTGTCACTTCCTGTGAAAAAGCAAATTTCATGGTGGGTTTTCAAGAGGCCAGCATCGGAAAAACATCAAGAAGACATTTTCTCTCGATCTCTCCTCTGTTTTTTTGCCGTCTTTTATTTTTTTGCTTTCTCTGCACTCACTCACTCTCCATTTTTGGGCCCAGTTATAAGACGTGCAAATATGCTTTTTATCGCACACATGCACAGTAACAGTTAAGACACACTAACACACCCATGCTGTAACCTATATTTGCTGAGTATGGTGAATGCCTATGTGTAAATTTTTTAAGAGGTTTAGCCAGCCAGAGCTGGAATGAGCGTCGCTGTTGGCTGGCTTTCTCAGCCCGGGGCCCCTTGCCTCGCTCCCCCATTTTGCCCAGTAGAGCTTCATCCTTATCGCTGTCCTGCACCCCATCACTGCTGAAGCTGGGCTCCTCTCCTGCTTGACCATATTTATCCAAGGGGCTCTTGTCTGGGGGTGATAAGCTGTCAGACTTACCAGCATGGATGTAGGGGTCCCCACATCCCCTTTACTTCACTCAACTCTACTCCTCTTTACTCGTTCAACAATGGCGGTGACTGTTTTGGTGACAGTTTCCCAATCAACAATATTTCTATGCATTCCCTTTCCCTTACAATTTTCCTCCCTTGACTATCATACTGCTGCACAGGTTCCCCTCTTATTCCTCTTATTCCCTCTTCTCCCCGGCTTTATGTCTTTGCGTGGTATTTAACAGAAAGTGTTTGCAAGCAAAAACAACTTTGAATAGTAAGTGTAATGGGCTCAAGGGGACCTTAGACAAAGAAACCAAAGCGCTAATTCTAGCCGCACTTCAATAGATTTATATCTGTGTGAACTAATTTTACACAAGAGGCATCGCACATCAAATCCTCTCCTTTATATCCACTGATGACACACAAACACTGTTTTTGGATCATCTGTGATGCTTTTCTGTTTCTGAACCGCTTTTTCCTCATCATTTTTATCACTAATACTCTTGATTTTTTCATTTAGCTTAGAGCAGAAGGAGCTTTTGTGAGCCGCATCCCTGTGTTGTTGCACTGGGATGACTCTGGTGCTCAGGGTGGGAATAACAGTTTTACCTCTAAGGTTTAAATGAACACCGTGCTGCTGTTGTTAGAACAATACTACTACCATTAAAGCAACCATAGTCATTTTCAAGGCTCTTGCTCTACAACTGTGGCTCGTGAAGGAGAACGGGCATGTGACTCAGACAGTAACAAGCTGTCATTGTAGACCATTTACTATTAAGTACAAGTAGCATCGCATGCTCCATCTATTTCCAGGTCATTCTCCACTATTCCCTTGCATCTAAACTGTTCGGTGCTTAGCCTTGCTTGCAACATTTAAATTTGCAGCCTAAGGTACTGTGCAGGGGTTTTTTATATGCACAAAGAAAAATCTCTGAGTACTACTGTATAACACAAAAAGCTCCAGGCTACTCATGAAAAAACTCCTGCTTAGAGGTTTTGACATGCAGGGAGATATATTGTAGCATTAGGGTGCGAATTTACCTAGTCTTGTACAGTTCTGCTTGGCAATTTCTAAAAGCGAATTAACAGAAGACGGCCACACTCTATAATTATGTATTTTAGGTAACACAGAGAGAAGCAAACATTGTGAGTGTTTATTTGTCATTATAAATGTATTTTGCGGACAGATGCTCCTGTTACTTTTGGGGAAAAATGCACATATCCTTCTTCATGTGCAGAAAAGCGTAATCATAGGTCCTAGTGGGGGTGGGGGTGGGGGTTGGGGGTGGGGCTGCATGTAGGAAACATGGGTGACATGTGATTATGAGAGGATTCAAGGTATTAATTTGCAGTGTGTGTAAAAATTATGGACCCGATCATGAGTTTCCTCTGGATGTCTAATTAGGACAATAAAGTCATGGTGTGTGCACAAGTCGGCGTGTTCGTACTCCCTGCTTGTAAAGTACCTGTTTTATGAACTTGGGAGCATAACGACCTCAGAGTGAGCACTGTTGCAGGTAATGTTCACAACCTAGCAAAAAGTGCTTTATTAAGCTATCACAGCAGAGACTGTGTAAAACATGGATGAGCTACTGTGACGTCATTGGTCTCTGAATTGAAGTTTTAAAACCCAGTGACAGTGGGCGCGGCATTGGAAATGATGACTTAGCCTTAAGATAGCAATGGAAGTCTTCTGGTGAACAGCTACACCTGAGTGTCAACTTAGTCATCCCTCTTTGCTTAAAAGATGCTAAATTATAAAAGCATTCACCTCTTTATTGGTGTGTACAGATAAATATATGAGCTAATATAAGATAAGATTTGAAAGCATGTTTTTTGCTACGTTCCAGTTGTACTTGGAAATTGGAATTTCCGAGCCCGAGTCGGAAATTCATCTAAAACGCCCCCTTGAGGACGGTTTTCTGATTCAGAAAGTCAAACAATCATTATCAACCCTGAATTGACGATGTCATTATCCAAGATGGCTGCACAGGGCATCGACAGTAAGGAGTAACAGTGAAAGTTCTCGTAATGTATTATTTATTAGCACTTCTGTTTAGTTTTTGTGAAATTAAATAAGTGGTATATGTTGTACTGCCCAACGTCTAACTGTGAACACGGTGCTATGGTGTTTGTAAAAGTAAAATACTGTGTTTTGTATTGTTTAGCTGACAACCGCTAACAGCAGTTGACAACCGCTAACAACAGTTAACTAACAGTAGGTGTCCATCTTGGTTTTCCGACTTCTTTACTGGAACGCCATCAACTCGGGTGTAACATCATTCCCAGATCCCACATCCGACTTCCAAGGTAACTGGAACGCAGCATAAATCTACACATCCCAACATGGGACCTAGTGGACACTTGAGGAACAGCAGTTTTTTATACTTATGCATTTTTTCCCACTGTAGGTTGTTGCTCAGTTATCAGCTAAAATATAAATACATTCAAATCATTGAATTTTTTTTTGTTCTGATATGTTTTGGAGAAGTTTGAGTTTTCCTACAGTTCAGGAAACATGATAATTTTCCTCACAGCGGCTCTCAACAGATTCGTAGTTTGCTGCTGTCAAAGCTGCTGATTTAAGAGTATGACTGAATAGGTCTGATAGTAGAGTGTGACAAATTCTCCCTGTAAGACTAAGAGCCGGCACGATTATGTGATCAATCCTTTAGTTCATCAGCAGAAAGGTCGACTTTTCTGGTGACAGTTTCATACTTAATCATGAACTGAGAGAAAAAACTGAGATGCACAATATCAGCAGAATATTACTATCAGGAAATTAAAGCTCAAACACTTAATTATCAGTATTGGCATGTATAGAAATTACCACCCACATGTCCAGGGTGACACATTGGATATACACACACCATCACAGCTTGTGTGTGCCGACACCTAGCTGTATGGGAGCAGTTTGAAGAAATCTGTTGCTGTCTGTTGGGAACATACAGCAAAAATAGCAATTTGTATTGTTTGTAAAGCACGAGTATTGCAAAAAGGAGCCAAGCAACACTCCTTAAACACTACCAATCAATTGTGCACCTGAAGAACGGTCACCCTAAGAAGGAAATGTTAAGAAATAAAGCAGCAACTGTCCAAAAAAGAGGTAACAGATTAAAAAAAGGTGCTTGAAAATGCATGTTTTGGGCCAAACGAGTTTGAAATAGTCAAATATTGTAAAAAAAGGTACTTTCATATGTGATGGCAGGAGCTGGGACAACAAATTTCTTCACAATGATGTTGCTCAGATTTCCCACACAGATACTTCTCACTCTTTCGTGATGAGCTCACACAGCAGAGGGGGATGGGTCAAGAGGTAAGAACCTTACTATTTGCCTACCAGAGTTCTCCTTTCTGATCTTCTCCTCTTTATCCTGCCCGCTCTTGCTCTTGCTTCATTGCCTCCAGTGAAATCTGGCATCAGGATTCGGCGAGGGGCAACATGTCTAACTAATAGAGAGCATCTCTACAATTACAGACCACGTCTTTCTCTTCCCTTTTTGCTCAACTGCTACCTTTAATTCCTTCTTGTCTCTCAGCTGTTTTGCACTACCAAACAGTCTAACACACCACTGAAGAAGACTGCCTGGAGTGCAGAAGGTGGATATTTCCCCATCACCTCTTGCCTCCTCCAGGATGTAAAGCTCTGAGGAAAGGCTGAGCGTAGAGGAATGAATTCCCTCTGAAAGCCGAAGTGAGGAGGGCAGGAAATAATTCAGCAGCAGCTCCAGCAGCGTCGGCATCGACAGCGGTGGCAGCAGTGAGCGTGAGAGAGACGGAGAGAGAGGGAGAGAGTGTGTATGTGTGTGTGAGAGAGCTTGAGTGAGAGCGAGTTCCTATGCACTGTGCCGAGCAAAGCTGAGCTGTGCCGTTGCGTGGCAAGCGGTGTGTTCCAGTTTGGTTCCCGTGCGCTCTGCTGAGGCAGAGCTTACAGAAAAAGGGAGAGATGTGGCTCCACGCGGAGCTCCAGCATCAGTGAAGACCAGCACCCTGCCGGGGCATCACACAGCAGCATGGTAGGACAACAGACCCACTGCTGACACCAGCGTGACTGATGATGACAGCCCACGCGTGGGTTACCATGCGCCACAGCCGCGCCGCTCTAGGAGGAAACACAGCCATGTGAAAGTGACTCGGCTGCCAGCAACTCTTGGACATGTTTTCCAGGGCAAAGTCTGGATTTCTTTCTGTGTTTGAACTTCTTTTTTTTCTATTGGTGTTGTCTGGCTGTCCCCAACTCACCTATCAGGCAAGGACTAAAGGCAGAGGGAACAAGTGGGGTAAGTGATGATGGGCTACTTTGACTAACGCCTCTGATGTAGATTCAAACATTTGAGTTTCGGGTGTTTAGCTGCCTCGTATCTGTGTTTCTTTTGCAAATTGAAGATGTGATGGCTGTTTTAGGTTGTTAATAGGGGTCACTGTTTTGATTTTGGTCGGCACATCCTCATCACTGACTGACCTTGCTTGTATATCATAGTAGCTCTAGATAAAAGTCTGGACTACATGTTCCCGCCCTTTCATTCTCTTGTTCATCACATACCAATTCACTGGAACAGCTGAGGTGTGTTAAAGGAAGTTGACCTGCTTTTTACCTTTAAGGAAGTGTTGTCCAATCATATCTGCTGACTTGTTTACGTCTAACTTTTCAATGTCCAGCTATTCAATGCTGAATGCTTCAGTGAAAATCAATCATGGATTTGAAAGGGTCTTTTTTTCCCCTCTGTTGCTAGCTTTTGCTTCTATAAGGGTCTATTTTGAAACCCCTCCACATATCACTCCAAAGACACACACACCGCCCTCTCTGAGCGGAGGGGTGTGTTGAGTGGGATCACATTTTTCTGTGCACCCTGAAATGTTTGGCTGGCAGGACATGCCACCAGTGTCTCAGGGCTGTGATGTTTGGTTTAAAGTCTTAGATCACCAGTCTTGAGAAGAGGTGTTAATAATTCATCTCAACTCCTCTGTGGGAGCGGTCCTCTCGCCTCTCTTGTAGCATTTAATCCCCTTTGTCGGATTAAAGGAACCTCTAATCTTAGCGCTAGTGCTCAGTGAGAAGGCTGAGAGATGCTCCCTTCAGCCTATCGGCATTGTTAGCACTCAAGGCTCGCGCTCTGTAGGATGTGTGTGTCTTCAAAGAGGCAGGGTTACCACCGTGATCTATTTTAATGATTCCTTGCCACTTTGCTCTTTTTCTGCTTCGCCTCTCTCTGCAGATACATCTTTCTGACGCCCTCCCTGTACCGTGTGCAGACACATCTCACGGACATGCATCATTACCACACGGAAGTTCTCACTTAATGACTTGGACTGTGCTTTTGAGTTGATTTGATATTACCCGCCACCACTGATGTTGGGTTATAGAAAAGTTTCTCTTTTAGGTGTCACATTTTTCTCCAACTTCAACACCCCTTACTTAGAAATGTGCATTACCAGCAAGAGTTCAGATACAGTGTGAAATAAGTCATACACATCGACAGTCCTGTACTCTTTGGCTGGTAATGAAATCTTCGCTCAGAACAAGAGAGAGGAAAGTTTGATTCTGACCAATTTGGAAACACTTGTCGTGGTGGGCAGGATGTTTCCAAGGTTGCAGTTTGATAAGTTTGGCGCAGATAGAAATTGGCAATCTGTAAACCAAGGGTAGAAGCAGGTAGAATATGAAATCTCAGCTATCAGTGGCCTCCTGGGAAATAGAGGGCGGTGACCTGCTTTGGAGTAATTAGGCCTTACACTCCATCCTACCTGCGCACAGTCAAACAGATTATTTCACAACTGTACTCTGAATCATCACCTTGTTTTGTTTAATTAAAGTTTGGTGAGACATTCGAGAAGGCTGGTGTTTGCCATAATTAAGATAATCAGTCTATGTAGGGTTGGAAAGTGTCCTTGGATGACTTGGTGTCAGAATATATATTGGATATTTTTCAATGATTCCCTCATCCATAATCACATCGAACATCTCATTGTCGTGGTTTTAATTTTTAAACTGCTCAATGTTCTCTCAGATTACCAAAATGAACTGTAATTCTTCTTTTTTTAAGATGCTGAATTACACCAGAGGCATGCAAATGAGCTGAAAGTCATTTTATTCACTCCCTGGGTGTAACAGGACAGTAGATGGAGTAAGAAACTAAGAGGAGGGAGTAGGGAGTGACATTCAGAAAAAAGCCAAGGGTCAGAACTGAAGCTCAAGGACGATGGCTTCTGCACACAAACACTGAGCCAAACTGGTGCCTGTAGCCAGTGAACCTAAAATCCAATACAAACGTGAATGTGTAACAAACTGCTAAATAAGAATATATGTTGTCAAAGCTTCACCTCACAAGTGCAAAACATGATAGAGGCATTTTCTCAGACATGTTATCAGCATTTTACAATTAGTCTTAAATTAAAAGCACAAAAGTTTATTTTTCAGTAACTTGGACCCCTGCATCAAAGTGCTCATCCATCCAAAAATACATCTTTTGAATACAAAACACTGGCGCTTGAAATTGGCTGAACAATATTCATGTCTGCATTCTTTACTGTAGAAAAAAAAAGAAAGTTTGGATAAAATACTTGTTTTCAGTCAGTCAAAAAGTGGCAATTTCACACAACAATGCAAGTACAGTTGAAAAGTTCAAAAGATAGAACAAAAATAATGTTTTTTTTTCTCTCAAACTGTGTATTTTTTTAGTCTTTTTAATCACCCTTAACCATTTGCAAAGCAGTCTCAGCAACATACATATACATGCATTATTATCAATAAAACTGGCCACTTCAGAGGGCAGTAAAGATTGTCTCAGTAAAAGTTACACCTGCTCCTATAAAAGGAAGAAGACCTGCTCCTATAAAAGCTCATACTAATGAATATCATTTCCCATTATAACCAAAGTTTGTTCTGCTGAATTTTGCCACATAATTGCCTTTAACTAATTATACTGTAACACCAGCATATAACCTGCAAAGTGATTGATGATACAGGAAAGTTTGGAGCAAAGTTTCTTGTACTTTTATCATTCTGTGGCACCAAACTGTGTTTCACTTTGACTTTTAGCTGACCTAGCACAGCCTGAAGTACACTGACCGTGGTTAGTCAGTGGATTAACACCAGGTGTTAACAGCTGCAGGCTGCTGCCGAGCATTGTTTATTGTTATCCAATCTCTGGAGTTCATAACTTAAGTTCTGAAGGTCTTTTTTGAAGTTTTCTTCATGAATTTTCTTTGCATGATGACACCGCTGTGAGTCCACCAAATTACTGTTCCTGCTCTATTCTCATTGCACCCCGCAGAGAGCCTCCACAGCTGATATTACACAGGCGCCAAGATCAGGGGCAGCGCGGATTGAAGTGAGCTCAGCGATAGGGGGGAATCCAATTGGTTGTATTACAATCTCGGCAAACTACAATAAATGGTAATGTGCAGACAGAACCAGGTGGAGAGAAGCCTGGGAGTGTTCACAGGTCGCTGTGAAGACAAACGATATGTGCAGCAGCCCCTGTTTGGAAACGGGGTCATTTTTCGTAATGTTCTCTACAACTGATTTACTAAACAGGGTCCTGCTGAGGCAGTCAGTGAAAGAGTAATGGTTAAGAGAAGTAACCAACAGCTATTACAGAAATACCTCTCACACTCCTACATCTCTCACTGCTCTCTGTGTGTGCGTGTGACTGTCCGGGAGGGCAGTGGGAGAGAATCAGATTTATGGACCAGTGGAGGTGAGCAGAAATTAATACTAACACTTCCTACTCACCCAGGAACAGAGAAGCCTCCTGCAGAACAGCGGTTCAAACTGCTTGGTTCATCACAGTGTTTGCACATACAGCATAACTGAGCGATCATTAAGTGCGTCTCTGAGCCACTTTAGCCGCGACAAATAATAAAGTAGCCATCTTCACTTTTACTGGAAGTGTCCCTTTACAACATTTCCTTTATTGAGGTTGCCTTTCCTCTAATTGAATTTGCTTAATTTACTACTACTAATTAAAATCACTATTTAATGATCAGCTCATTATCGAACAGCCTAATTTGAGAGGCTTCTATTGTTAAAAGATAATTGTTTTAATCCGTACACATTAGAGGAGATGCTGAGACATCACTAAAAATAAGTGAAACACAGCGGGAATCACAAGCAGTCACATGAACGCAAAAGTTTCAGCCTGACCTTGAAAAAACAAAGTTTATTTGAAGTGGAGTTAATGTGCGGTTTATAACAAACACTGTCATCATTATTTTTATTCATGGTATTGACAGAGATTCAAATTGGAAAGTGTTTGATTTATATCTTTCATTTTTTACTTGATGAATCACTTTTATATTCTTAAATGTGAACTCATCTTGCACACAGCTGGGAGATAACTGCACTGCATCCTCCTTTATTTTTTAATATAGATAGATAATTTGTTGTTGCTTGCTTACTTCTGCTGCTCAGCCAGACTTAAATCATTTGAGCAGTTTTTGAATACAGCAAGTTAAGTTGATTGTGCTTATTCTCAAAAGCTCTATATTAAAAAGTGGAAGTTTTGCTGGTGTGTACGTACACACGACGCATTGCTCCATCATGTTCTTACCTAATTTGATTAGTGCTCTGACATCTTCTGCTTGAATTATTATATTTTTTTAATTTATTTTTGTTGTGGAGTGAATTTTGCCGTTAGTGACTCGAGACCTTTTCATTATTTTTTGTTAGCTGGTGCAAGGAGAAGACGCTTGCAGCATGTTGACATATTATTATTCTTAGAGCTTTGGCAGCGCCACATAATGGCATGATTTTCTGAAGACTTTACTCTGTTGTTAT